TGCAGGGGCTGTCTGGGGAACTCACTGAGACACCAAAGCTTTTGCTTTCCCCTCTTTTTGTCTTCTKTTGTTGGAAGCCTCCATTTCACCTTTCAGTAGTGTATAAGGTAGGCTAAAATTTTCACAGAAGACCGTGAGAGACTTTTTTTTCTTATATTGGTAACAGAAACTAAAGAAAATTGCAAGCTGTAGTGTCCATGTCTTGCCAAGGTGGATGTTGAAGTTCCAAGTGTGGTGCTGCTTTTTAATAGGAAAATAATGACTTATRACTGATTTTGTATCATAGCAACACATCAATTAGTATCTTACAGCTATCTCATAACCAGAAGTAATCCAAACACAGTTAGGARGAGGTGGAATGTATTAGAGATAGCTATGCTTTTGTATGGTTCTGTTGTTCAATTGAGACATAAGGACATAAATTTTTATAATCCTTGGCAGTAAGCTGTTTTGAAAAATTGCTAATCTTTTCCACTTCCTTTGCCAGTTGTCAAAACTATCATGGTAATAACTCACTGTATTAAAGAAGGTTAATTTTATAGTTAAAACTCCAGGCTAGAACTCAGGAGTTATGTTTCCATTGCTTTTGCTGTGCAATGCTCACATGGATTTAGGGTAAGCTGCTAAATCTCTTTGCCTCAGTTTTTTCATCTGTGCATGAAGGAAGGACCAATTTTTTTTTATTCTCAGAAGAACACTGAGTTTATATGTTGGGTGGCATAGGAATAATATCACAGTACCAATAGAATAATTTTTGTCTTGAAAGAAACCCCACTGTTTAAACAGTGAACTATTTTATTTTGCCTAATTGGCACCTTCACCTCATGTAAGCAATGCTGTGTTCACAGAATGTACAGCAAAGTGAGCCCCTACATTGCTTTGTGTAATTTTTCTTTGGCTGTTGTAACTCTTCTCTTGTAATTGCTGTTCTGTGACACTTAACTGAATGGGAGATTTATAATGTTCAAATACTACAAATCTGAACCTCTTTTTCCCCCTACTTTCCATAAAAACATGGAGTGAAACTGTCRCTGCTGATTATTTGAGGGAATTTTGCTAATTAGAATTGCATGAGAATTCAGGCTTTTCAGCTGTCATCTGTTCCATCCCCTTCCCAAGTGCTGGAGGTTTCAGCAGCTTCAGATTTCACAGTTGTCTTAAATATCTGACTTACTCTGGCAAGAGATCTTGAGATAACATTCTGGGGTCAGATTTTACCGTTCTGCCTGTGTCTGGGCAGTTTTTCTGCCTCTGCAAGCAGAATTTGGCCCTCACATACAGTGAGTGTAACCTTTCTTATCCTTTTCATGCAAATAATCTCATTTGCCTGCCGTGGATCTGCTGTTYCAGCAAGGGACTGAGTTGGGGCCATTCATCTCCATGAGCTGGAAGATGCAGCATTTGGAGTTTCTCTTAYCTCGAACACAAAGTTTGCAGGTGTTGGGATTCTCACAGAACCGTTTGGGGACAGAAAGAAAGAATGTTTGGGAAGAGAAGCATTTGAAAGTGTGAAAGCTGTGAGCTGCATGAAGGGCTGTATACCTGTATTCCACACCAACGTGGCAGTGTAACAARCTCTGTGAACTTCCAAAGCGCTGCYTYGTTGYTCATATTTCTGTGTTAAAGTGTGTCTGTGTAGTGTGCCCTCTGATTTYCAGTTATTGAGGGTCCAGTACAGGTTTTGGCTCTAAATAAGATATTGGGAAGGAAAGCCATGCAGTGCATCCTGCTCCTGAAACTGGAGTGGTGGGTATTTGTGTAGATGAGCAACATAACACAAATGCTTGATTTTGTTTGTGCAAATGAGAGAGCCTTTGTGATGCAAAGCAGCATCCTGAAAAGGCAAATGTGCTTTTTTGGTTGTAAATATCCCAACTAAATACTGCAGTAATTGCAAGCAGAGCTTGGCATTTTTCCTCTCTATTCTCTTCATCGTTATATTTTAACAAGTTCTCATGAGACTATTAAAATGTCTTAGTTTTTGGAACATGTGGCCTAGTGGGGATAACTCTGTCTGCAGATGCAGCTTGATTTTGCATGTCTTTTCATTTCCCCAAATGCTGTGACCCGGGGTAGCCTTTGCTGTGCCTCTGAAGCCACTGGGGTGAGGGAAGGACAGGCAGGTGACTGATGATCACTGTCACTGCAGCCTGCAGACAATACGGGAATTGCTTCAGCAATTCCACTCCCTCGGGCTCCCCATCCTTCCTTCAATCAGAAATGCAAACAGCAGCCTCCTCACTTGCTGCTGTCCCACATGGGCTTTGTGGCAGTCCTGCCTGTTGGAAACAGCAGCCCCAACCCGAGGGAGAAGGGGAAATGCCAAGTGGGAGCTGATTCCCCTGTCCCCCATGGTCAGTGCTGCTCACACGTGTTCCTGTGGCTCTCACAGGTAGGAAAGTGCTGAGATAAGGTAGAGCTTGGTGTGTGTGGTTCAAAGGGCAGCCTGGAGGGGCTGGAGCTGTTTGTATTGTTACCCTTTGTCTGTAAATGTCCTGCAGGAAGGGAATAGCGATTGCCCCGTGTCCAAAACTCAGCCCTAGAACTGTGCTCCTAGAACCTGCTGACTCCAAAGCAGTGTGYATTGAACATCAGCTGTGGCTTTACTGYRTGAGAATTGAAATGCATTTGCTAGRWTTCAGCACRGGCAGAAGCACAAAGAATTTGTTAAACAAGGTTTTTTTACAAGCTCATAATTGTTTTGYTCAATGCATAGTTGTGTGGCACAAATAAAAATACCTGCATTTTATATGGTTTTAAATATACAGGGTACAATATGTAGCACTGTATTGTACAGCATACAGCTGATATTTGTTTTCCTTTCCAGATACACAGCTTAACATGAGTTGCCATTCAGCAATTCTGTGACGTAAGAGTAACGCTGTGCCAGCATTTGGTTAAAATTCTGTTCATCTTATTTTAAGCTGTAATTGCATATGAARATATCTTTTGGCATACATATATAAAAGGAAAACGATCACTTTGCACATCCAGAAGGTGGTCCTTCTCAGATACCTCAGGATATCATGTCTGCATTTGATGTATTAGGATTGCAGCCACCATAATGAAGAGATTTCTTCTGAACTGTCGTTCAGGAATATTAGATTAGTAACCCAATCAGGCAAATAGCAATGTATGTAAATACTCCTACAGCTTTAGAAATGTGTATCAGTAGYACTTGTATTTTATAAGAAGTCTGTGTGCAGAGTGTATTTCATCTTACAGTGACATTTTCTATTGCAAATACTTAATAACAGTTAATTCCTGAATAAAGATACAGAGTTAAAGGAACAGTTGTAAAGCAGGATGCTGGACTGTTGAGTTGAACAGGATTCATAGAGCTAGACATTAAAATAGTTACTCAATCTTTAAATAYATTATTTTCTCAGTATCTCATTTTAAAAGTATCTTTGTGTTTAATTTTTTGTTTTACTTGCTTACCAGAAATCTTCAACGTACTAATATTTTCAAGGRAAAAATACTCCAAATTCACAAAAATCCAGAATTAACAGCCTCCTGTGCTCCATTTCCAGTATGAATTAGTGCTTTCAATCAGGCAGTGGTGCCAGACACTATCAAAGCCTGCTTGAACTCCAACTTTGCAATTCTTCTAAATGAAGTTCATAGCATTTCATGTTGAGGTGAGCAACATGCGTTTCACCTTCTGCAAGGTGCAAAGGGCTGTGATAGGGGCAGTGCAATACTGGAAAGCTGTCTCAATTTTAGTGTAAGGTTTCAGATTATTTCAAATTGTGTGTTTCTTTCCCATACCTCTCAATAGAGTTGGTTTGATGACACAAAATTTCCCTTTTTCATCTCCTGTGASCTGTCCCACAAGTCATGGTTCTGTCTGCCAGTGCTGGGCCAGCAGAGTGGGGCATTTGTTGGCTTTCTGGACTTGGTGTTTGCTCTTTGCTGGCCACAGGCACTGCTGTAGCATGAGGCAGTGTATCTTTTTATTGAGCATCTGTCCTTATACATATATATAGGATATGTATAGAATATATATATATAGGATATGTATAGAATATATATATATAGGATATGTATAGAATATATATATATATTCTGTTTAGCATCCCTATGGTGTTCTAATCTGTCTGTTGGGAAGGGAAGTGTTAAAATGAAACCATCATTATTTCAGAGAAGAGTGAGTTGGGTGGAAAAGACCTGTTCACTAGGAAGTGTAATTTAATGAAATCTGGTAATTTAATGAAATCTTAGAGCCTAACCCCAGATTATAACGAGTCACTTCATATGCATATTGGAACATATCCAAGTAGATATCTGTTGGGATCCCATACTGCATYGGGATGGGAGATAAATCCATCTCATGGGAGAAAATCATTTCAGTGTTAAGAATGAATAAAAATAATAGGTCATGTTTGATTTTTGGAACCCCTTCTTTGAATGAGGTAGAAAAATCTGGGTATTGTTATGTGAGTTTAGCTTTCTAAACCAGCATCTCAGACAGGTACTCATTGATGACATTTTGCCTGTCATCAGTTCCTCCTTGTCACTGGGATCATTTTCTTTGCTGCTCAAAGTTGTTTTGTAGATCCCTAAAAGTAGTTTTCATGTCTTGTAATTGTGGAAACTGCTTTTAGGGGGAAAGGGAGGTATTGTGGGCTGTATAATTTGTGAAGTATTTTTGAAGGCCTTCTGGATGAATGGCACTTTATAACTATTGTAATTAAATTATGGGAAGCATTTATAAGGTGAGTGGATTAATTCTTGGGGTTTTTCCCAATTTTTATATGAATGTTTTTCTCTTAGGAAAGTCCCTCTAAAAGAATGGGTACAAAGAGTTCTCTTTTGGCTTCAATGAAGTTCTATAGTTTCATGCCAACTACTTAAGTTCAAAGTAAAAAGTATATTCATTTTACAATGTAAATTGTGCAGTACACTTTTATTTTTTTAAGCCTTTGTTAGAAAAGTTGCTTTCCATTGTTCATTTTGAGGTTTTCCCCCCCTTCCCTTTTGTTTTTGTTTTTCCTCAGTTTCCATTCCAAAGAGCAGTGCAAAAATGCAATCCTCCCCTTGCAAAGTGAGCCGGCGTTCAATGCAGTCTCCACAGAAATCTGCTCCAGCACCAGCGCAGCGGGGCAGGAAACCAGGGCGGGCCAAACCCCCTGGACASTCTGCAGTTCCCAAGAAGGGCAGGTCTCCTAAAAATATCCCCCTGACAAAAAGCACTTCTCATACTGAAAACCTTAAAACAAGGAAAAAAAGTTTAAAACCTGGAAAAAAGGTTAGTCCTTATCTACTACTCTACTTTATATTGCAAAACTATGTAGTGAGATTTTTTTATTATTACTTAATTTTCTGTCTTCTCTTCAGCCTTCAGGGCTTTACTGTTTTCAGCAACTGATTACAAGAAAAAAATTTAGAATAGCTCTTCTGGAATATTTTAGCATAAGATCCTGTGGATTATTTTATTCCCAAACAAGATTACTGTTTGATTTATGGGTGAGTAATTGGTATTGAAAAACGCTTTTCTGAAATAGAGAGCCAGGGAAGCCTTTAAGCTTTTTAGTTTGGGATAGTTTGTTACTGAACCATATATATTGCTTGTGGTTTTTTGGTTTTTCTTTTCAGGTTTAGAAACAAAGAATTAAAGCTGTGAGGGCTTTACTGTGTAATTTAGGGTTCTTAAGCATATAGCTGGATTTACCRAATGAATCTCATGGATACCCTCTAATCCTGGAGGTACTACTGGCATGAAGCAGGAGGCGTCTTTTTCTGTAGGTGTGGGGCTAATTCTGCCCTGGTGWGAAAGGCATGATGTGTTTGTGCCTTTCCCCACCAAGCTGAGTCCAGCCTGGAGTGCTGCAGCGGCT